CGCAAATATATATTCTTAAGGACATCAAAACCTAAAATAAAACTCCAGAAAAGTGTACAATATGGGACCTTTAAAGTGACAGCTGCAATATTCCTGCTGTCTGTGTTTTTAATGTTAGCCTAATCAAACAACAAAAGACAAGGAAATCACTCACTGCTTTTGACTGAATAGCTTTAGTAACTTTAATAAGGATTAATTGTCAATTTATGTAGTCAAATATGCAATTTAATTTTTTACATTAATTACTTTATTCAATTTCTGTACCTAAAAAACTAATGTTAGACCTACCTAAAAAACCTTCAAAGCACTCTTCATTTTGTTTATCTTTGCTCTATTGTATTTATTTGTGCTGTTGCTTGTAGTTGGATTATTTGTTCTTATTTTCTTTATTTGACAGTATAGTCCTTTTCCCCCCTAAAATAGCACATACCGAACCGTACCGAAACCATGACTGTAAAACCGTGATACAAACTGAACCATGAGTAATTTGAACCGTTACACCCCTATTCTTATAGATCAACAAATAAATTAACAAATGTAATGCATTTCAATAGTTTTACCAGAGTTTATCTTAGATATAACAGATGGTTATATATTACATATTTATATATATATTACAATATTACAATAGCATTCAGTTGAAAATGTGGTTGTTGTAGCTTATACTATACTTTTGCAGATTGTAAAGTTGTACCCACTTAATTGTTTTACTGATCCAATTACAACACATACAGAATTAACAAACAATACATTAATGACTTTAAAGAAATGCCCCTTGATTTGCAGATTACGTTAATCAGAAAAGAAACCAATGACAATATGAGTCTATCTTTTAGAATAAATTACTAAAAGTGCTTGTATGTCTAGAGATGTTTTAGCCTGTTCTGAATACAGAACCAGAACTAAAAACAGACACATTCAGTTCTAAAAACTGATGCATTCAGAGTTTCGTTTACATGTACGAGTCCTTCATGTGAGCAGGCGTGGAAGGCAAGGAAGACTCAGACCTGTCTGAATCAGTTATATTGGCATGAGTGGTTACGGTCAGTTAAACCGTGGAACCAGAAGCGACACAGCAACCAGAACTGAAGCGGTCAACACACTGATCCTGCTGCTGACTTCACCTGACGAATGTTCTGCATCACAAAAGAAAACACAGCAGAACAAACATAACTTAATATTTATCATCCACTGTCAATGTGGAACGTTATCTAAACACATCTACATTTACATGAGTGTATTGATCCAAGTATGAACACTAATCGGAGTAAACAATTTTTTGCTGTACACTCCAATAACTCCTGACTACCAGCTATGGAGTTTTGTCCTCTGTAGAGGACATTACGTTTTAGTGATTTCTCTGAGACGTTACATGTCACCGTTATAAAGAAAAATGTTTTTTTTACAAATATCTTTCATAACATAGTTGAGAATCATCTTTATATAAAGTTTGGTATAAAAAAAATGAAAATTGATTTCTGATTAAAACAAAAATCCCACTCTTTTTGCCTTTTCATGTTTAAAAACAGGACTTTTTAAAGTCCCGATGTCCTCTATAGAGGACAATTATTTTTCAATTTTTTCTTATGCTCTAAACAATGTAATGACATGACAAAATACTAAATTCACAAAACTCTTTTTTCCTGGTAGTCAGGAGGTTAAAGGTTTCCATCACACAAAAGGTTCTTTATAGTGGGTTCTTCAGATTATTACAATGTTCTTCACACTAAGAAAAGAAGTGGTTCGTTTAAGAACTGTTGACTGAAATGGTTCTTCTAAGGCTTTGCTGCAAACCCCCCTTTTGGAAGCCTTATTTTTAGAGAGTGTAGTGCAAGATCAAAGTGCATCACTCACCTGTACCATTTACCACAATTGAAGAAGTGAAGATCTGGAAGGGTAACGTGTTGTTTCTAGTTGCTCGAACTATAGTGTTCACTATCTGGGTGCTATTAGGTAGAACGGCGTCCGCACCAAATACAAGATCCATGGAGTTTCGGATTGTGGGCACGCTCCGTAATTTTACACTGGCATGACTGGAGAGAGTTTGGAATCAAGATTCATCAATGAAAACTGAGTGTTATGTTGAATCAGTAGCTATTTTCAAGAATGCACCAGCATATTCATACCTGAAGTCTGTTATGGATATGGTGCTGAATGATTTAGGGTAATCAGCGAAGAAAAAAGGTTCGAGCTGCAAAACAAGAGTTATTCGACAAAATTGGCTTTCTTTTGTAAAAGCATTTTACCCAAAATTCATAAGTAGACACGTCACACTCACCCCTGCTTTTATCATCGAAGCCCTGTTCTGAAATTCAGTAGAACTTTTATTTGAAAGAGCAGCCACAAAGGTTCCATTGGTGAGGATTGTCAGCGGAATTATCTGCACTGATTCTACAAAAAGAAATTGATTTTTTAAAGTATCACAAATTGCGCAGAACATTATAATCATGTTAACAAAGTAAAATCTTAGAAATTGGGTATATCAGAAAACTATAAATCAATTGTGATCTCAACTTACTAATGACATTAATAGTGGTGGCATCAAGAGTGAGGTTGAAGCCTGAATTTGGAGTTGTAGCTGCTTCTTTCAGAGTCTCCACAATGTCAGTATTGCTGGGGATCGGTTCAGTGGATGTTTGGCTAAACACTAATTCAAGCTCTGCCTGTACATTTTCTTCTGCTCGGGTTCTGGCAACAGCTCTGAAAGGAATCACACGTTCACAGATTACATCTGTCAGTGTGGAAGACATGTGTATTTAGTCTTTTACATATTCCATAAAACTGGGGTTAGTGCATCTCAAGTGGTCCAAAAATTGTAAAGTTGATTAGTTGGAAGTTGGGATCTCAAATAACATTTTAACAGCAGAATCATAGAGGACTTATTTGTTGAAGTTGAGGTAATCACGCAAAACGAATTAAAATTGGTCAAACAACCTCCACTGGACTCCTTGAGATGGATGGACCCTTTGTGTCACAGAGATTCAGGATTCTTACAAATGTATCAAGTCTATATGCAGGAGATGTTGTTAAAGATTCTCTTAATAAAACTAGATGAACTGAATTAAGTAATGAACTAGAACCCCACCTGAAAGCAATCACAATAGTCCTGATGAAAAGAGCTCCATACTTCAGTTTGTATACTTTGTCACACTACGGAAGAATGAGTTTTGGGGATGTCATTAAATGTCACATACAAGGATTAAATGCACTGATCATGTTATACTTTCCTCTACATAAGAATCAGTTGCCAAAAATGGTTTTCAAAAGATCACCATGTGGGATACTAAATTCAACTTGATTTAAAGATGAAAACCAAACAAGCAACAATGCAAAACAAACAGAATTTCTTGCACATACTACTACATCCCAAAGAAAGTTTCTGTTGTTTAAGACTCACCTCACTTTGAACTTTGTCTGCTAGGTTCTTAAATGCCACACTTTGCGTGTTTTGAAGGTCTGGAATAAATATTACTAAAATGACCAACTCTATGGTTACAACTGGTGGAGGGTGTGTTGGAACTGCTGTTGTGGTGGTGGTTTTGGCTGTTGTGGTTGTAGCTTTTGTTGTTGGCGTTGTGGTTGTGGCTTTTGTTGTTGGCGTGGTGGTTGTGGCTTTTGTTGTTGGCGTGGTGATTTTGGCTTTTGTTGTTGGCGTGGTGATTGTGGCTTTCGTTGTTGGTGTTTTTGTTGTCAATGTTGTTGCTTGATGTGTGGTTATTTTGACTGCAGTGGGCTTGGTCGTGGTTGTAGTATGTTTGGTAGTAGTGGAAAGGTCAGCTTTTGGCATAACTGTTGGTGGTGGTTGAATTGCAGATTGTATTGTAGGTGTAAAATGAAATGGGAAAATCAATGTTGGTCTTCATGTGAGCAAATCAATTTTTAAAGTAAAACACGACAATGAATCAGGGACAAAGGGACAAATTTACATTGTAAGTAACAAGCACTCAGAGAAAGGTTCAATGTGAACGCAACATCCAAAGTAATGCAACTAGAGTTGCAAAAAGGTGTAAAATGTCCAGTAAATTTCGGAAATATTCCAGAAATTTAGGAAACTTTCCAGGATGTTTTGGCATATTCCAGGGATTTTTGGAAATTTTCTATAGTCCTGATGAAAAGAGCTCCATACTTCAGTTTGTATACTTTGTCACACTACGGAAGAATGAGTTTTGGGGATGTCATTAAATGTCACATACAAGGATTAAATGCACTGATCATGTTATACTTTCCTCTACATAAGAATCAGTTGCCAAAAATGGTTTTCAAAAGATCACCATGTGGGATACTAAATTCAACTTGATTTAAAGATGAAAACCAAACAAGCAACAATGCAAAACAAACAGAATTTCTTGCACATACTACTACATCCCAAAGAAAGTTTCTGTTGTTTAAGACTCACCTCACTTTGAACTTTGTCTGCTAGGTTCTTAAATGCCACACTTTGCGTGTTTTGAAGGTCTGGAATAAATATTACTAAAATGACCAACTCTATGGTTACAACTGGTGGAGGGTGTGTTGGAACTGCTGTTGTGGTGGTGGTTTTGGCTGTTGTGGTTGTAGCTTTTGTTGTTGGCGTTGTGGTTGTGGCTTTTGTTGTTGGCGTGGTGGTTGTGGCTTTTGTTGTTGGCGTGGTGGTTGTGGCTTTTGTTGTTGGCGTGGTGGTTGTGGCTTTTGTTGTTGGCGTGGTGGTTGTGGCTTTTGTTGTTGGCGTGGTGGTTGTGGCTTTTGTTGTTGGCGTGGTGATTGTGGCTTTTGTTGTTGGCGTGGTGATTTTGGCTTTTGTTGTTGGCGTGGTGATTGTGGCTTTCGTTGTTGGTGTTTTTGTTGTCAATGTTGTTGCTTGATGTGTGGTTATTTTGACTGCAGTGGGCTTGGTCGTGGTTGTAGTATGTTTGGTAGTAGTGGAAAGGTCAGCTTTTGGCATAACTGTTGGTGGTGGTTGAATTGCAGATTGTATTGTAGGTGTAAAATGAAATGGGAAAATCAATGTTGGTCTTCATGTGAGCAAATCAATTTTTAAAGTAAAACACGACAATGAATCAGGGACAAAGGGACAAATTTACATTGTAAGTAACAAGCACTCAGAGAAAGGTTCAATGTGAACGCAACATCCAAAGTAATGCAACTAGAGTTGCAAAAAGGTGTAAAATGTCCAGTAAATTTCGGAAATATTCCAGAAATTTAGGAAACTTTCCAGGATGTTTTGGCATATTCCAGGGATTTTTGGAAATTTTCTGGAAATTTTCCACCCCTTTGCAACCCTAAGTGCAACCAGTGCTGTTTTATTTTTAACTGACTGGCTTTACCTTCTGCACTGGTTATATTAAATGTAGTATTGGCACTGGTGATAGCATGTATGATCTCATTGTCACTCGGCAAAAGAGTGTCTTTCTTGAATTCCAAATTCACATCTGTGATGATTGATCCAGGACTACAAGAATGAAAGGGAAAAGACAAGGTCTTTGTTAAAGATGTGATTTCATCAACATAAGTTAAGGTATGGCTTAGGATGAAGTTAAGAGCACTATATATGTTTGTTACCCACCTGAATCTAATCACTATCAGTCTTAAGAAGACCGGGAATGCTTTTTTAAAGATCGGCTCAAACTGTAAAAAAGTTAAAAGATATGACACTTTTAGTAAAAATGCAAAAACTCAAACTTGGAATAGTTAGCATGGTGATTAATTTGTTGTTACATTACATTTCATCCAAATTCTAGTATACTTTAACATTTGTACTGTACTTTTTTAATTTCGGCTGTTCAAAACTACATCTTCCACTATGAAGTATGCAAATGTTTGTCACATACCTCCTCATTGACTTTTTTCCCTCGTTTCTTAAAGAGATCTGATTTTCTGTCAGACAGTAAAGGATCAAACGTTTCTGAGCTGGAAAATCTGACTTCCACTGTAGTTTCAAGTAAAGTTGTGGTTGTAGTTGTGATGGCAAGATGGTTTGGTCTTGTAGTTAGGGTAGTAGTTGTAGATATAGAGTGGGTTGCAGTTGTTTTTGGTTGGGTTGTAGGTGCAGGTATAGTTGAAGTTGTAGGCTGGTTTGAAGGGTGTGTTACAGTTGGAGCAGGGGATACAGGTGGGATTGAAGGCAGTATTGCATTTGTTGTAGGTTGGGTTGCAGCAGATGTAAACTGGGTTGTACCGATTGAAAGTTGTTGTGTAGTTATTTGGTTTGTAAAAGTTGGTTTTGGATGTAGTTGGGATGTAGTTGCAGCTGTAGTCTGAGTTGTAATTGTGGTGGGTGGGATTGTAAGAGTTATAGGTTGGGTTGTAGTTGTAGATTTGCTTTCAGATGCAAATGCTGCTTGAATTGTACTGGTAGGTTGGGGTGAATTTGTTGTCAATTGCATTGTTGCCATCAGCTGAGTCTCAGTTGTAGCTGTTGTAATCTGCTGGGTTGTAATTCTTGACTGTTTAACTGTTGTAGCTGTTGCAGGGTTTGATGTTGTCGTTGACTGGATTGTAGTTGATATAGGTGGGGATGTAGTTGTGGTCTGGACTTTGTTGGTACCATTGGCAGTTGTGGTAAATGTCGGTTGAGTTATAATTGTAGACTGGATCGCAACTGTTTTTGTACTCTGAGGTTGGGTTATTTCTGAGTTGGGTTGAGATGTAGCTGTAGTTATAGGTGGGATTGCAGTTTGTCTAGGTTGTGAAGTAGTTACAGACTGTGCAGTTGTTGAGAATATAGGCTCAGTTGTAATTTTTGCAAGTTGTGGTGTAATAATTGTGGATTGGGCATTAGTTGTAGGTTGGATTTCAGCTTGTGTAGGTTGTGAAGTAACAGTCTGGGCTGTATGTGTAGGCTCGGCAGTTGTTGAGATTATAGGCTGGGTTGTAGCTGTTGCAAGTTGTGGTGTAGTAATTGTGGATTGGGCATTAGTTGTAGGTTGGATTTCAGTTTGTGTAGATTGTGAAGTAATGGTTTGGGTTGTATGTGTAGGCTGGGCAGTTGTTGAGAATATAGGCTGGGTTGTAGCTGTTGCAAGTTGTGGTGTAGTAATTGTGGATTGGGCATTAGTTGTAGGTTGGATTTCAGTTTGTGTAGATTGTGAAGTAACGGTTTGGGCTCTATCTGTAGGCTGGGCAGTTGTTGAGAAAGTAGGTTGGGCTGTACCTGTTTCAATCTGCAATGTAGTCATTGCTGATTGGGCATTTGTTATAGGTTGGATTGTAGTTTGTGTATGTTGCGAAGTAGTGACATGCTGGATAGTTGTTGTGAAGGCTGTAGTCGCCATACTTTTTGTCTCCTGGGGTGGTGTTGAAGATTCAGTTGCAGTTGTGTCAAGTGTAGGCTTAGTGGTGAGTTCCACTACAACTGTTAGTGGTTGTGCTGTAGATTGTGGCGCTGTTGTCAAGCAATGAACAAATAGATATTAGCCTCAATCAGAGCACATACATAGCCAATACATAATACATAATAAGGCTATCAGAATTACTTTATTGTCCTTTCTACCTTCTGGCCAATCCTGGAAATTTAACATTTAAAATGCATAACCTCTGAATAATATTATGCAATGTCATGTATCATGTGAAACACGTGAATATGGGTTTGGATAACTTACAAAAAAGAGGACTTTCATGTGAGACAGTGGTTCCACTTATAAGCGTGGTAGAGCCCTCAGTAGTAGCCAGTGTATTATCCACTGAAGTCACTGATTCTTCTGTAATTGCTGTAGTTCTGGATGTGGTAAACTCAGGATGTGTTGTGGTCACTGTTGTTGATTTTGCTGCACTATCCATGGTTGATGTATCTATAGCTGTGGATTTAGATGTTGTGATGGCTGAAGCTGACTGACCAGCAATTCCTTTAGTTGTAATTTCTTGTGATATCATTCCTGTTGTGTGTTCCCCTGTAGAATCAGTAGTCGATAAATCAGGAATCTTAGTAAATGATTGGGCTCCCGTGGTTGATTCTGGTGTAAATAGTGTAGTTGATTGATTAGTAATTCTTATAGTTGTCAATTCAGTCTCTGCGGTTGAATCATCCTCAGATGTGACACTTTTAGATATTCCTGATGTGAATGTTGTGGATTCCAGTGCCTTTTTAGTGGTTGGTACATCAGTGAAGACAATAGATTCTTTTATGGTGGTTCCAGCTGTAATTCCTGTCGTTGACTGAGGTCTTGAGGTTGTAGTTGATTGATCGGTAAATTCTACAGTTGAAAGTTGAGTTTCCGCTGTTAAAACTTCTTCTGTTGAATCTGTTATAAATGGTGTTGATTTGTTTGTGACACTTGTAGATACATCTGGTGTGAATGTTGTTGTGGATCCCAATGCCTTTTCAGTAGTTGGTACATCAGTAAAGTCTATTGTTGTTTCTTCTAAGGTGGATCCAGCTGCAATTCTTGTGGTTGATTGAGGTTTTGTACTTGTAGTTGGTTTATCAGTAACTTCTGTAGTTGGCGGTTCAGTTTCCTCTGTTGAATCTTCCTCTGACGAATCATTTGTAAATGGTGTTGGTTTGTTTGTGACACTTGTAGATATTTCTGATGTGAACGCTGTTGTCAGTTCTTCATTAGTAGTATCATCAGTGACATTTACAGTTATTTCTTCTAAGGTGGATCCAGCTATAGTTCTTGTTGTTGATTGAGGTTTTGTACTTGTAGTTGGTTTATCAGTAACTCCTGTAGTTGGCGGTTCAGTTTCCTCTGTTGAATCCTCCTCTGATGAATCATTTGTAAATGATGTTGGTTTGTTTGAGACACTTGTAGATATTTCTGATGTGAATGCGGTTGTCAATTCTTCATCAGTAGTATCATCAGTGACATTTAC